ACTTCCTCCTTGGAGTTATTCCACTGATGATTTTGCTGTTGCACATATTGTCAGGCCTTCAAATTATCCAATTATTCGAAGATTATGAGAGACTCGGGAAAGCGTTTATTTCCCCCCGCTTCCCCCACTCCTCCTTTCCTCGAGACAAAGGATTATGGTAGCTAGAACAAGGGGCAAAAGATAATGGGGATCGGAAAAATGGAAGAAAGAATCGGGAAAAGGAAAAGCATTTATCATATAATACCCCTTTTTATCATAAATTCAGCTTTGTCACAAAACAGCTGCTGCATTTATAGTGGTGAAATGCTGTTTCTTTAATTCATTTCGCTCTGAATGTCATACAAATATTTCACACTGATTCGTTCAGGCATTGACTGCCGATTTGGAAACGGTCAAGGATGCGCAGCAGTTGACGGAATATGATTTGCTTCATATGGAGAACAGACGAGCCGGTCGGGATAAGTATAAAACATTGCGTCAGATTCGTGGCGGTAACACGAAACGTCGTATCGACCAGTACGAGAATATGTAGGGGGAAAGTTGCTGCTGAATGGAAATGAGGGGAGACCAGCACCCATCGCGACTCCTTTCTGTGCATGTTTTCTACTGCGCCGTACATACATGTGTGCGCGTTGTATGTGTGTGTTTGTGAGTGTTTTGTGCCATGCCGTTGCTAATTCAGTTTCAGCAAACAAAGCAAATTACAGTTGGCTCATTTTTTGCAAGTTTTTCCCCCATTTGTTTCACTTTAAATTCTAAGATACTGCCAGCGGCATCACTTATCATCCATGATTTTTTTTTCCTGGTTGTGGTTCGTATTTTTTTGATGAAATTTGACTTCAAAATTTTACATGTGAAGGGTCGATCCTCCTGGCTTAGGGAAAATCTAGAATTCTTAAATTTATTGAGGTTTTAGTTGACACATCTTTGAAGTCGTTTAAAAATGCTTAAAAAAGGCAAGCATCAGAGCAGCTGAAGTAAAAAAAGCCTTTTGAAAATTGCTGCCATAGCTTTAAGGGATTTTGAAGCATCAGTTATCTCGAAGATTTATGAAAAAACAAACTTTGGGGATATCAAAAAAGGCTCGTTTTTCCGGAAAGGAAAAATGTG